GTATTTCGCGGCGCGCTTTCGCGGTCGGAAGAATGCACGTTGCACTTGGGATGTTGCGTCCTCGGAGACACGATGACTCGTGTCGCGCGAAAATTCTGTTCTTCGTGGCGACGCATACGTAATCGCCTTTTACAGAATATTCACGACTCACTCTTGGGAATGACGGAAGAAATATATTGATGATATATTTTTCGACTTTCGACGTTTCTCCATGCAGTAATTAAATATATTGCACTTTATTTTTAATATAAATTTGAGCTACTCAACTCATCAAATAATTCATCCATATTATGTATGCCGAGAGTACTTAAAGTTTCAAAATTTTTTCCAGTGATAGCGCAGGATCATGATTGATCATAATACATTACTGTAGGTTTGTAAATCTGTTTCATTATTGTTTTCTGTGCTTTTTATCAGGATTTTTATACCGCGCTTTTGTAATTTCCAATTGGTGTGTCAAAGAAATTTTCGATTTATAATTACTGAATAAATGTGACACAATTTCAATTGTTAAATAAATTGCTCATGTACGCTGATATGTTTAAGTAGATCGCCGTTATGCATATAAGCATGGAAAACTGCTGACATGAGGATGAACTAATTCGCAATGTTTAATTTTGACCAACTTAAATCGCTTGATTTATTTGAATACTTTCATCTCTGCGGTAGGCATACTTATTCAACTATTTTGCGCAAAGTTCATAAACATTATGCAGCTTTGGTTCTCGCCGAATTCCGTCGTGTACGCTGGATTAATTGCAGTTAATTAATCGTCCCATAAATTATTTGCAAGTTTTGAACTGATTTCCAAGGAAATATGATTGTAGTCTCGAGAGGGTAATTCATGGAATAGTGTTTAGGAAATTATCATCCATGGAGAGGAGCAAGAGAGTGTTTCGCCATGTCTTTTCCAACTTTCTTGAATTTGCGCGAGAATAGCTTCGTACTCAATTCTTAAATGCATTTATTTAAATTTACGTTTTGTACACGATAAAGTTTATTTTACTTTAGAATATAAAATTTACGACTATATTTATCTCTATTAATTCTTCGTATCTAATATATATTTGATCGGCTTTTGTTGCGCCAAAATTATGAACCGTATTATTTTACTAACTGCAGAAAGGTCAGAAACGGCTAAGCTAGGGTCGTATCGAAAATGCAATTTGCCACGACTAGACGTCAATTAGCTTTTCTCGCAGGAAATCTCGTTAACAATCCGCTGCGCCGTGTGGTCCAGTATGATTAATGCGGTCGACTCGTTAAGCAGGCTTGATGATCGTATTCGTGCAGGGTGTATTCGTTACTCTAAGTCCTTTTACTCCTCTGCTTTGCATGGAATATATAGAATATATATATATAGATATATAAAATTAAACTGATATACGGTGAAACGTATGACTCGCTTTGTAAATGTCTGATTTTACTTTTAATGACGGATGCTTTATTGAATCCACAGTTTATCTTTTTCTAGAAAAAGAAATGTCAATACAAATATGATCGTTTACGTCAATTATTATTTTATCAAATTTCCGATAAAATTTTATTAAAACAAACGTGCCACAAATATGCTAAGTATAGAGAAACTTAGATTTAAAATAAGATTTGGAGATTGCATATTTCATTAAAATAGCGATATATAAATAGCGATGATCTGAATTTGAAACGTGTACCTGTGTAATATTCTTTGATATAATTTAAAAAAATCAATCTCAAACACATAAAGTATCATGCAAAGCAATTTATACAAACTGAATGATATCGGAATAAATGTAATTTATTTTATTCCGAATTAAATGTATTTTATGTATGTTCAATAACGTAACGCGCGCGAAATGGCTTTTTTCGATATTGCGTGTGTAACAATGTACATTTTCAGCCGAAATTTAGTATAATTGTAGCAATTCTGGCGACATTGAGCATATGCTGTCTATTCGTGTATTCAATGCACGATGGAGTTAACCCATATCGTTACCCTTCGTTTCGCGTCATCGCTAAAATTACTATTCCGTATCCTTCGATGTGGCCATTTGCCAACTCTGTGGAATCCCAGCCAGGCCGCAATAATAGAGCGCAGCAACGCGATTGACCCCGTGACCCGACACGTGCATCCGCACTGCTTCACTAAATTCCTTATACGAAAATTTCGAGCGTCCGTTGGAGCGAAAACAAAATCGAAGAAAAGTCCCCGAGAGTCCGTAGGTGTTATATAACAACTCATTTCCGACGAAGAAGAGACGCTACTAATGATTGATTAATTATGTAAATCGTCATTTTCCGAAGAAGTAGAAAAAGAAACAGCAATGCGGCATTTAGCCGCAAACGCTAACGAGTGATTTTCTCGCGGAGATAGAAATTATGCCGCGTATCCTTGCGAAACTGCGAAGTGGAAGTTTAAATATTTATTATCTACCGGTCAACACAGGCACGTACTACAAACTCGGCGAAAGTTCGTATTAAATGAACGAGCGAGCGAGAGAGGAAGAAAGAGAGATAGAAATGGAGAGAGAAAGAGAGATCTCCTTAATTATCTTATCCATTGAATTTGTGGATACTGCGCAGAGATGAATTCATTTACGAAAATTCGACTTGTCGCCCTCACAAATGTTAAAAATATGTTTCATATCTTTGCGAGAATTATGTATTGGGTATTGGTACAGATAAATGTTAATATTTTATCGTTCACTGCGAAATTGTGGAATAGATTAATTTAAAATTTCTTGTACCAGTTCAAAACTTTTAGAATTAATAAAAAATAAAGATACCTATTCGTCGAAAGTTATTAAAATATTTTGCATAATGCAGTACTCAAGAATTCTTAATGCTACTCTTTAATTAAGTAAAGTAAGTATGATAAAATAATGTATAAGGCTTATCAAGATTTAATAAGCCAGACAAATATTAGTTTTACAATAATCAATTATTTCATATTTTTTATTTAATCGTTACGTATATATGCTTTATCTATATTATTCATATTTATTCATATGCCAAATATGTCAAAAAAATATTTTATATATAAAAATTTGCCATATTTCGAAGAAAATTATATCATCCATTGTTGCGATAAATTCTTAATAAAAATAACTTAATTAAAGAATCTATTGTAAAAGTAAAATCGTGGTATTCTGAATATCAAAAGTTCTGATTCGTATGAATTTTACATAATTTTTCAAAACTAGCTCGCATTGATCTTGGTGAATGCTTCCATTCGATTATAAAGACCCGACTCAAGTTGGGCCAACGTTAAAAGAACTTTAAAAACAAGATCAATGTTTGGTTATTCACAGTACAAAGATTATTCATAAAAGTCGATTGTGGTTGGCTTCTGAGAATAAAAAAAAATCTCGTTTGCGAAACTTAAAACATTGACGGTGCGTGATGCAAAGTAAGTTAAGACGTTTAAGGTGTGCACTGTCAAGGTAAATAAATCGTAAAAAAAAGACGTTTACCACAGCGACGACGCGTCCTGTAGGTATTCGTTTATTATTCGTTTCGAAGAGAGCGCGTAAGCTTGCAAAATAAAGATAAATGTAAATTGAGAAAATGTGTGTGCGGAAACTTCTTCACGCTAAAGTACGCTATTTTCTCTTTAATTCTCGCTGCGTAAAATTACGACGAATATTGCGAATAAATGTTATAAAATACATATACATATCAAATACACGTTTATATTTCTTTCTCAGAAATGTAATATGCTAAAAATATAAATTTCATAAATTGTTTTAAAAAATTCTTACTTAAAAAAGAGATATACATATAAAAATATTTAAAGTTTTATATATTAACTAGATCTCTTAATATAATATGACATATACAATATGATATTGCATATGATATACATATGAATTGTTTAAAATGGCAATATTAAATTAATATGTGATAAAAAAAAGAAATAAATCATTTTTTTATTTTTTCATATTTATACAGAATAATGCAGAAGTGCAACAATAATTACATTATACGATATCATATTGTCATATTATATATATGATATTATACAATATGACAAATTAACACTTTTGAATTATTCTGCATAAATCATAAAAGAATAAATTGTTTTTTTTTATGTATCACATATTAATTCAAAACTATTCGTTTGCAATCAATATATCATCTTTTCCGAGAAAAAGCGATATACTTACTTATTTTTAAGAATTAAACTTAAAAATCTAATATATTTAACATATTACACTTTGTATTAATGTCACGTAAGAGAAAGACATTACATACACATTGATAGTTAAATGTCAAATTTGTGTTAAAAGCGATGAGAATATGCAAGATATATTAGATGCATTGTTCTATTATAGTCTTGAATATTTAAGTGGCATCAATCAAAATATTTGAAATGCCACAAACACCACAGAAGATATTGTATTGTAGAAAATAAAGAATTTTACCTATATGTATATATTCTCTCATCTTTCTTTCTCGCACACTAAACCTTTCTCGAATTCATGCTTACAATAAGAAGTTATATTACTGCAGCTAGCATATCCACGCAAGAAATCTGCTGCATAATACGATGCGAAAACTGCAGCACGCAATAGTAGCAATAGTTTATAGTTATGCATCCTTCCAAAAATACTTTTTATTTTAGTTATTATACAAATGAAAATAATATATTAATTTCATACTTTTAATTTCATAACATGAACAGTATGCAAGATTACTATTATATTACTTGTAATATTACTAAAAATTTACTTTCGAGAAAAAGCTACATTTAATTATACTCTGTTAAATATGCTAATTAAATAATTTAATTAAATATAATTTATTAAAAGATTTTTCTTTTTTCATCTAATGTAATTTATTATCTCTTTCTGACGAATATTTAGTACTTAATTTTATTGCCTCTTTTATATTGCTCTTGCAATATTGAACGAATAATTTTACTGTACTTATCAATCATAAAAATTCACTAAAAAATATTCTATACATGTTTAATTCAACTCGAATAATTCCCTAACGTTATATTGTGATGTGTGTTACAGAGTTTACGCAACATTGCGAATACAACAGACGCTTGCGAGACTCGCGATCCGTGTCAGCATGGTGGCATTTGCATTTCTACGGACAGCGGACCGATCTGCGAATGTCGCACCGGCGATTACGAGGGTGCATACTGCGAGAAAGGTTAGTAAATTGACTTTTAAAATTCAATCTGTGTTATTCTTAAAAATTAATTATAATCCAAAATTATCTTTTGTTGAAACAACTTACGTTTAATAAATACCGCTCTTAATTTCTTTACAGTATCAATAAACATATATATAACGAATATATTGTCATATAATAATAATAATAATTAAGAAATGATTAATACATTTAGAAATAATTAGTTTATTAATGTTGCTCTATTTCATGATATATTAGATTAATACGAATTAAATCATTATCTATTTATACGCGGTTTTTTTCAAAACTATATTTATTAGTGTATTATTAAAAGATAAATCGAAATTTATATAAAGACACACAAATCTTCAAAAATAGGATAGAAAAATAAAATCTCATCATGTCATTATTACATATGGCGTACAATAATAAATAATATAAGATAAACCAGATCAGAGAAAACTATATTTTTATTAATGTATTATTAAAAGATAAATCGAAATTTATATAATGACAAATCGTCAAAAATAGGATAGAAAAATAAAATCTCATCATGCTATTATTACATATGGCATACAATAATAAACAATATAAGATAAACCAGATCAGAGAAAATGAAGAACAAGAATTATTTTTGCGGATTTATTTATAACGCATTGAACATAATTTAATTGAATAATCCGCAAATATATAATAATAATATTTATTACTTTCGTTATTATTTTTTTGGAGTGTATGCAATACATGTATGTAGCTGTAATCTTAAAAATATAATAATTGATAAATTATGATAAATCAAACTAATCAGCGTTTGCAGATGTAAAAAGATTTAAAAATCTCGAAATTTTCGCATATTTTATTAATAATTTATTAAGAGTTTAACAAGGCTCTGTAATATAAATATAAATTTAAAGTGTAAGACAGGCAATAAGAGCCAAATCGCGGATGACAGTGCGTTATCCCAACAAAACTAAAATTTTTTCCGTTAGAATCCCCGTCGTTTCCCGATTCAGCGACTTTCGGATCTATATTTTTCTCTCGCATTTATTTCCTTAGAGGGAAAGAGGGAATGTATGAAATTAAATCTCTTGTAGAGATTATTCCAATTTTAAATCTTGGCCGTGACCAAGTAAAATTTGGTGCCTGGTGCACAGGTAATTAATTCTAACGGAAAAAATTTTAGTTTCGTTGGCATAACGCACTGTCATCCGCGATTTGGCTCTTATTGCCTGTCTTACACTTTAAATTTATATTAATAATTTATATTTTAATGTAGAAATTATATAAAAATATATATTTATATATTATATAAACTTATATACATGTATATAATTATATAAACTTATATATTGTATCTGTTAATTTTCAAATATCAAACAACTTGATTTATCACAGTTTATTAAAAGCTTAATTTTCTTTGTTAAAATTGTATTGTATTTAATTCATCTTTGACATTTGTATCCGTCTAAATCGATTCTGTATGTGGTTTCTGGTATTGTGGTTTTTGCTTTTAGTGATCTATATTTCACACTGTTTTATTAATATACAATCTATTCGTGACATTCGAATTTTATATCTTTCAATTTAGTTGATAATTTATTGCAGATCGCGTTGCATTAAATGCAATATCAATCACTTGCACGAAGTTGATGCAAACGGCGAATCTTTCCTTCAAATATTCATTATGTCTTTATATTTTTGCATCCTGACACGTAGGAAACATGTCACACGATTTGTCACGGTCAACGGCGCTTTTATTCTCTTTCATTTTGCTTTCAATTTGCTTTGTCCGATCGATGGTCGTTTTTAACGATAAAATATCTAGACAACTATATGGAGCGCGTATTTCTTGTTAACTTTTACGCGTATTAGCGAGAAGATCCGCGTCGTCTAATGAGGCGTAATTGCCGACAGCTGCAGAAACGAAAGATGGCGTCCCGAAATGATTTTTCCCTCTCTTAAGCCACCGGCAATTAGAGAAGTCGGGCATGTCGAGGTCGTTTCCAAGACGGTTCACCGATAATTACAATCAGACTTGTTCCTCGTTAATGAGGTGCGCTCACTAAGGAATCGTTAACGGAGGCGATTCGGCAATTGCGAATGAGATTGGCGAAATATGCGAAAATTATTCGCGTATTTGCTTATATTTGCTCCCGTCATTCGAAGCATTTCAGAGAAAAGTCGTCGCAAAATAAGATTCTGAAGTCATAACTGATAATTTATAAAAAAATGTTTAATTACTTATAAGAAAAAAATATTGGAATCCTGATATTCCATTAAAAAAGATGAAAAGAATTATTGTGCGTTACTGATAAAGAATTTAATTCTATTTTTCCTTGACATATTTTAAAGCAAGGCATGATTTCAATCATTTTACAAACTTATTAATTTTAAGTTACAAATTAATTAGAAGTGTCTTCTGTAATGTCAGTAGAACGAAAAATATAAAATAATTATATATATATATATATTGATTTGTAAAAATGTAACATTGTCGGAATATAAAGATCTCTCCTCACAGAAAATTCAGAAGACTGTACGCTCGACAGATTTAATAGCGGAGAACGAGATTACATTTCTCTCACGGATAAGCAACATACCGGATTTACCTTAATTGCAATTTATTTTCTACGATAAAATTCTGAGTTTCCTCGGGCTTTCGTCTTGTTCACGAAAGGGAGTATTCTCGACCGTGCACATTAATGATAATTTTACTATCTTGAGAATTTTCTACTACTTAATTCTACGTTTCAAAATATATTTATGATGTATGATGTAAATTATTTTTAATGGTAGAATATTTCTTTCTTTTTCTCTCTCTCTTTTGTATAACTTTATAACTTTTCCACTTTGAAAGACAATTACAGAAAATGCGCGTAAGACATTGTGTAAAGTTATCTTTGTATTTATAAATAGTATTTAAAATATTCAATTTCGGAGCACTCGATACAACAAACGAATGTACTAAATGAAATGGTTTTGCAATTCTCGATATTGAGAGTCGAGAATTTCATGGTAGAAAAGGGATGTCTTCATGGCACGAATAAACAATTTTCCTTTATCGAAGATTGCAACGTGGAATGTTTATTCAAAGGCTTACTTCGCTGCAATAATTGCGAGTCTTTGCGAACTCACGGCCGAGTCTTTTGTCGCTACCGAGACATCGTCCAGAAGAACGCGAAACTTCAAAGAGGACTCTTCGCAAAAGGAACCAGGACAATTTCATTTTAATTCCTCTCTTAAGCTTTTTGCAAGGCGCGATTGTCCTCGTCGTGCCTGACAGGCACAGCCGTTATACGCGATATAATGTAATTTCCAGCCTTAATGACCATGTTGAAACGAATGGAGGAAAAAGGAAGAAGAAAATGGGATAGTGAAGAGAAAGGATGAGAGTGTTACAGGCGCGCAAGATAAAATAGCGAAGCTAGAAATGAGGGTTGAAACACAAAGAAAAAAAAAAGAGTTTACAATTTATTAGGGTCAAAATAATCGTTCTATCAGAATTTCTAAACGAATATCGCGATAAACTGATGTTGCTATTTCGTGAATAAAGAAAGGATATATGTACAAATTATAAGAAGATGAAAAACAGACAAATTGACAGTCAACTAATATCGCATATATGTATTATCAAGATCTTGAGATTCTTAATATTTAGTATGAGTATATTAATTGATAAAGAAAATTTATATTATATTATCATTGATATTAAAAATAAGAAACGATATGATGAAAGCAATCATGAAAACGTAAGTCGTTGAAAGTATAATACTGATTAATATTTGACATTTGATATAATTATCAAATCTATTCACAGAAGATTAAAATATATGAATAAGAACGATTAAAAGATATAAATAAAAATAAGCAAGTCAAGAATGGAACGTAATATAAAATAGATTAAGATAAACCGCCATTTCGCATTATCCGTCTCAAATTGGATAATCAAGAGTTTATGCTCGCGGCGAATCGTTATCTGGGCAAAGTGATTCAACTTTGCGCGGCTTTAGCTCAGAGAAACTTGCTTGGTTAACACTCGATATTTGCGTTTGCGGAAATTTTAATTTAACAATAGCTCGAACGTTTCGAAAGTATTTAAATTACTATGAAAAGCGCGCGCGCATTCCAAATATATATTTCTTCTTTCTAGAAAATGTATACGGGTATCGATCGATCTCGACGCATGGTTCAGTTCTTTACTCTTTCTTCCTTTCTTTCTTTCTGTTCTCGCATATAGAGGCATGGAGCACGATGCTGCCTACGGCGGGTGCTGGCGATTACTGGGCTTGGGATTACAGTGAGTCTCGCTAATTACAAATACAAAGCACATATCCGCGATAATGGTATGCGGCAATGGTAGAGATATCAGTACGAGTAATTAGTAGATCATAGCTCTAGCTATAGATGATATATATATATATATATATATATATATATATATATATATATATATATAGGTGTGTACCTATATTTAGACCCTTTAGGAATAAATTTTTCATTAATGCGGAAATGAACGACTCAGGCAGCACCATGTATCATTTTCTGATGTGACAAACGGATATAATAACGCTAATATTTTTATTTACTAAATATTAAATTTTATATAATTTTGTGCACACATATATAGTCGAATTATGGAGTGTCTTGAAAAGTTAAATTAGATTTTCATATCATGCATATTTTATATCATAGGAGTATATGTGTCGTGTGTGTATGTACATATTATATAATCTTTTGTCATGTAAATTTTAATTATATGTACTTTAGTGTAACTTCTTTCATGGTGAACATAATTCTTCTATCGTTTCATCAACACATATATATCATATTAATCATAAATTATTCATTAATTATTTATCTATTAACGCTTAGAATTGATTTAGATAAATTGCATATTTTATCGCTCTATGCTTGCGTAGAAAACGTTTAGATATTATTGTTATCCCGCATAGTTTCCATTAATAAAATCACATAAATAAGAAGTGAATGAAATTGATATTTCGTGTTAAATTGACTTT